TCTCAAGAATTTCTTCAAATTTTATTGAATTTTCCAAAGAATTTATGGAAAATCTTGAAGAACTCCATAAATGTAGGGTTTACCTTTCTACTGGGGTTCTTTCTGTGGTGTATTTGCATCAAATTCTATTGATTATATGAATGACGATAAGGTTTTTGCAAAGCAAGATTCATATCATTCAATCTGGAACTATCCTCTGATATCCCTTTTATTCATTATCATTCAATCTGGAACCATGCATATGTTACAGAAGTGCATTAGCAGATCAACAGTTTAATATGATATAATACCTGGTGTGAAATGAGATAAAACTCTCATCTTAAAGAAATCTACCATTTGCAGAGTTGCACAGTTTATCTTGGCATGATGGGCTATAAATTTATTAGGGTTCTGAATATGTATATCCATCTTAAGGGGCCGTTTATCAAACGGTTATCTGGGTAAGCGCTTACCAAGTCACATTATTTTTCTGGATGAATATGGTAAGGTTCAAGAATCTTACCCGTTAAGAGCGAGACAAGGACCAAAAGTCTTATCGGGTGAGGGCGACGACTCTTACCACGGTAAGCGCTTACCGGGTAAATTGTTGCATATGATGTCGTTTTGGTGGACTAAAATCTTACCCAATAAGTAAATAATAGTGTTAAATTTTACCGAGTAAGTGTTTGGTAAGTGTTTTTAGTTCCAATCAAAGTTTTGCTTACTTCCTGAGTTTTTTATATAGTTACAATAAGTAATGTTGTAGATAAAATTAGGTTCTTTCACATTATTCTTGCAGATCCCATACATGTTTCCAGGAGTTGTTCTTGCAAGTGCTATTTGAGTGTGTGAGTAAGAACATGCTAATTAGTGACAGATTAGTGACGGATTACTCTAATTTCCATTAAAAATAATAAATAATAAATAAAATACACGCGTCTGTCGTTGATCCATGGCTAATTTGTGACGGATTACTCTAATTTCCATTTAAAAAAAAAAATACATATGTTCGTCGCTAATCAGGCCGAAATGGAGTCTGAACGCCATTAGGCTGAGCTGTGGTCCGAATGGAAGAGAAGGGAGACCGAGATGGAGGTCGAACAGAAGAGTAGGGCATATCTGAACCAGTTAGTCGAATAGATCTCTTTATCATAACATTTTGCTGCGTTTACGAGGTAGTCAGGATACATTTTCCCCCCCTCCTGGCCCTCCCGGTAGTTTGATTGTTATTTAATTAACATTCGAATATTAAATTGTATGAATTTGGTTATTTTTAATTTGTTGTACAGTTTTGATTTGTTATTTTTATGGGCAGCTTTTGTATAAAAATACAAGAAATCTGTAATTTTAATTTACGATTCTTAAAATTTTATAAAATCGTCGACGGAAAAGTCGCTGCTAAAATATTTGCTAATTTGTTGCTGATATCTCCATCGCTGACAGCTTCCGTCGCTAATCCATCTCTAATGGTACAGTTTTAGCGGCACGTTACTATAACATCGCTAGCTGACAACTATCGCAAAAGAAAACCGACTTTGAAGACCAGACATCGGAGAGCATGTGTCACGCTTTGAATGACCCCTTTTGACTTTGCTTTTATGAACTCTTGGTTATTGTACTTCGGACACTTTATCCGTTTTGTTTTGTGTTCCCGTTTTGGAAGCATCGGATAGATTCATTTTCTAAGACATTCGATGTTGAATTCAATTCAGCTGCTACTTTATAAGCTCAAGTACGTGTTTGTGAAGCGAATAAATTTCTAGACTTTTGGTTAAGAGTTCTCATTTATGGTTTAATGCAATAAGTTCTTCGGTCCTTACACAACACATTTTTTCTCTGGCCATTTACTTTTCAAGTCATTTACATTTATGTCATTTACTCTAGGGGTGCTCAAAAACCCGATTAACCTGATCAACTCAACTCAACCCAACCCAAAGCGAAATAACTCAACCCGAAGCAATCCGATGTTTAATCGAGTTGTAAAATTGTCAAACCATAGGTATTGGGTTGATCTTGGGTTGAACCCAACCCAACCCGATGAACCCAATATTCTTTTATTTCTTGGATTTAGTATGATTGTTGAACTTCTATTAATATATACATTAGACAATTACACTATCATTTAGGCTTTTCATATACACATATTTTCAATCTATTCACATCTCTATATAATCATTCGTATATATGTTCAGTAACTGTGAACATATATATGTAAATTGAGAAAATTAACTGAATGTGATATACGTAAGAAGTATGGATAAGTTGTATCAAATGGTTGATGATGAAAAAGAAATTATGAGTAGATAAATAACATATTCTAGGTTAGAAGAATATTGTAATGTACCAAAGTATCAACCCGACTAACCTGACCAACACGTACGGGTTGGGTTGCACTTTGGTTCCGGTTGGGTTGGGTTAAGATTTTTTAAACCGTAAGCATTGGGTTGAGTTGTTCAAATGTCTTCAACCCGGTCAACCGAACCCATGAACACCCTACCCTTAAGCATTTACATTTGAGTCATTTACATTCATTTCTTTAATTTATATTTGCAAAGCGATGTTGGGGTAATCATCCTATCTTGGGTATAAGTGGATAATTGTTTTCACAATCGTTATCAACCCCATTATTCACTTCATTTATTGATGTTTCATCTAATGATTTTTGACAAATTGACACATGTTATTTCATTATGCAATTGATACACAAAACCTATATGGAAAGAAAGATAAGTTTAATACCATGCTTGAATTTGTACTCATCGTTGATATGATGAGGGTACTGGCAGTGAGTGTCTAACTGCACTTCGTAAGAAAGTCATTCAATCCAATAGTGTGATGTTGAGAACTATTGTTGCAGTAACCTATGTTATGTTCTAGCAAGGTTCTATTGTACTTGAGCTGAAATCGCAACCAGATCTTACACCCAAGATTTTCTTTAATTATTGTCATATCTCATTAGTTATTAACTCTTGCACAAAGAATTGCTTCGAATCCACCATCTAAAATCCTCATCTAAATTTGACTTTCTCAACCTCTTATTTTTCATTTGTCATGATACTTGATAAATATTACTTGAATTAGACGACACTGGTGAGACATGTATACTTGCATGACTTACTGATTGTTGTATCCTTTTTATGGGTTATACTTTCCATCGACCAATGGCCTCTACCTTGGCTAGCTGATAAGCAAGCTCATTGAGCTAGCTTTTGGTCTAGCCTTTGATCTTGGTTGGGCTAAATTCATTGTTTAGTTTGATTTTGGCCCGAAATTCAACTTCAAACTCAATTTTTTTCACATATAAAGAAATTCACCATCATATGTAATCATCATACAATAGGTTAACACAATTTAGATAACTACTTAGACTAATTTCTTATTGGCTTTTCACACGAAAATAAACCAAGACTTTGATGGTTTCTTGATGCCACAAATGCCATGTTTCTACTACTAAATTATGTCTAAACATCTTAGGGTGCATTTGGTTTGCAGGATTATTTTTGAAGGATTTGAATTTGATGGAGGGATTTGGATTTGTAGGGATCAGATTGTAATGGATTTGAAATCCTTTTGTGTGTTTGGTTTGTAGGATTTAGAATGGATTTGAAATTCATTCATTTATAAATCATGTTTGGTTCGTAGGATTTGGATTGAGATTTAATTACGATGGCAGGTACTACTTCCATGGCTATTACGCCAGTCGCCACAGTTTCACCGACTTATCTAAACTACCATTGTACACTACCCATTCTTGAACACTATTCTTATCATCACCGCCAAACATTTGACTGGAGCAGTGTGGTCGGTTAACGCTGAGAGTAGAGTTGTTCATGGGCGGAATGACCCGTTAGACCTGGCTCATCCGGCCGCTAGAAATACGGGATTGGACAACCATTATCGATAAAATGGACGGACCTGGTTTTGTTCGTTAAAATTAACGGATAAACATAGGCAATGTAAAAAAAATATGGACAGGCCCACCCAACCCCTTTTTTTGGTAATTAATATTTTTTTACCATTAATTAAATACAACATATTTTAAAATTAAAGTATTAAAGTTATAAGATGAGAGTTAGGACTCTTTGGTTTTTCTTAAGAACGCAAAAGCTCAATATTATATTTGTTAGCATCTTATGTCAAAAGTCTTAATCGATCAATAGTTGCTTAAAGTTTTAATTGCAACAGTGTTTTTCTTTTACTTTTTGGTTCCACATTTGTTAATTAAAAGTTACACTTTTTAAACCCGTTAACCAATGGACAAACCCAACCCGTTTTATAAGGCAAACAATAACAAGTTGTCAAACCCAAAAAAAGGGGTTTCAGTTCACAATATTAGGCCCGTTGAACAAAAAAACAAGTTAGGCCCGGACCAAGCCTGGCCCGGGCCTGCAAATGATCATCTCTAGCCGAGAGGCATTGAATGGAAGTTGTCGACTTTCCTCTGGCACTCACTGATGTTCTTGTCTGAAGATCCACTAAACAACAAGCTCCCTGCGATGACGATATACAAAAATGCTTGTTTGTGACCTCTAATAATTCCGCCATGAGCCAATGTATGTTTTGGTCATTCCCAGAAATTCACTAACCCATCTAAAGATACGGCGTACACGACATCTTTCGCCGTGTTCACCGCCAACGCCATCACGGCGTTTTCCTAGTTTAGTAAACCGTAAAGCATCATCTTCAATGACCCGTCTGCAGATTCAGTGAAAACCAGACCGTCAAAATCAGAAACCACCAAATTAATGGCGTCGTTGTGGGTTTTATCGATTCTATTTTAATTACAATCGACGAGGAGAGCATCGGAAAGCAGGAACGTCATTTTTGTTGGCCAGAGGGAAGGAAGCAGTGCAGCTAAAGTTAGGCCACAAAGCAATTTTTTGAAATCTCACATGATTTGAATTTGAAATACCAACTCCTTCCAATGGATTTCCAAATTCATCGGTCATCGGATTTCAAAAGAATCATTGGATTTCAAATACCAACAATCTTACATCCCAAACACTGGATTGGAATTGATTTCAAATCCAAATCCCTCCAATTCCATTCCATCCTGTAAACCAAACGCACCATAAATGTAATATGCAGATGTATAGATACGAATTAAAAAAAAAAGAGTTGGTCCTATCGACCTTACAACCGTAGTGGGATGGTTGATATGTACAAGTATGACAAGATACTGGTGTGTGTGTGTGTATATATATATCTACAATCTTCATATACGTGGAAACTTTTATAAACCAAACCATTGCAAAACAAACAAGACCATAGTCATACAAATGGAGGTTTTCTGCGTTAATAAGATTTTAAAAATGGCTTCACCTCCATGGTATTCTGACTAGATAAACATGGTCAGGCATATCGCATCTCCATATCTGCAACATGTAAGTTGGAAAAAGATCGATTAGATATAAAGAATGATTTATATTCTGAAGGAGAACTGTTTAAATCAATATAATTCCTGGAAGGATGGTAACACTGGTTGGTATAATTTGTGCTAGTTAAGAAAGGGAAGTGATTAAACATTGTAACAAAAAAATTCTATCAACAACTGTAACCTGGGCTGCCACTAAACCAAAGTTCTAAATGGCAACGCGGTGAGGTCAAGGGGTGGTTTATGGCGGCGGCAAGTCTCTCTCTCTCTCTCCCCCCTCTCTCTCTCTATATATATATATATATATAGAGGTTCAAATGAAAACGGTACCGTTTTACGAGAAAGCGAGAACACGTGAAACAGTCGACCATCACATGTGGTACTGTGGAGGGACGAAATAGTGTGCACCGAATTGGCCCACGACTTGTTCATCATGTGTGTATCACCCGTTTATCACATGTGATGATTGCCTATTACAGTGTTCTCGCAACACTGGTACACAAGGCTCTAGGAAGATCTTTCTCTTCCTACACGTACCACTTAAGATACAAAAAACAATTCTTACCAATTTTCCATCTGGGTCAAAAGACAGATGCTGAAATGATATTAACTGGCATAGATCTTTCTCTTCCTACACATACCAAGATTAGCACAAACAAACACAACGTTGAGAAAGTAAAGTGATAAAAACAAATGAGAAATGGTAAAAGTTGAACCCTGGTTAATGATCTACCTTAGAAAATTCCAAATAATTTGCTTCATGAGATATATAATTATATAAATCGCTCCATATATTAGTAGTAAAATGAAAGAATTATGAAATATAGGATTCATCTTCTGTAACATCTACCCATACCGCCCGCTTTTGCAATCAGTGAATTCATTCTTTCATACGTGCACTTCAGTTCACATGAAATAATCAGATTCCTTTGGCATTAAGTGAGGTGGATTTGTTGAGACATAAGACACCAATCAGTTTAAGATTGTTTGGGGAAGGAAGACCAGACTATATATAAATAACAACAAAACAATCTTCACCATCAGAAAACACTATCCTAGGCTAATACGAAGGAGTTTCTACATGAACATACTGATATTGAACTTAATAGATGTACAAAATGGCATCAAGTTTGAATATGACCAAAATGCCAGAGTCATGTGAATCAGACTCTTGTTTCACATTAGAATGCTAGTTCTCACAACCAATTTAGGAGTTGACGTTTAACTGTCTGAGAGAGATCTATGGTCGTTTCATTTCACGAACAAACTAAAACAATCACACAAGCTAGTTAAAGAGGAAATGACTACCTTTCTACAGCTTCATTGCCTTGTGAAGCTGCAAACTGGGCCAGCCGATATACTGCACTGAAGTTTCTTTGAGCCATCGCCTCTTTGTCAAATATAGCGTCAGATAGGACAACTGATGATGCTCCCTTAGCAATATATTCCCCCACTGAATCTGTAAAATAAGAGTTGCAATCAACCAACTACACAAGTTACATCTTTTGAGTTTCAGAACCTTTATTTAGTTACAAAGCTAATTGGAAATAAGATCATAAATAAACAATGATGATGAAAAAGATTGTAAACATCTCCACTTCCACCCTTTTAATTTCAGAATATAAAATGAATCTAGATTTCATTCTGGTAAACAAGAATAGGCATACATGGTAAATGTTTTTTTATTTTACAAATAAGCCATTATTCATGCAGGGAAAGAAATTGATAGGGTGTTCAATAACATGCAACTACTGTGTTCATCTTGTATTGGATACAAGAAGAAAATTCACCATGAAAGAACCAAACACATAAAGGTATCTTGTCATCTCATATGAAATCATGCTAGCAAAAATATTCTGACAAACACACTATGACGGAATGATAAGGTTTAGCTTGGCATGATAGATATCTATGCTTCAGCTGAGGACTGTTCATTGAGTTAACCATCAGTCCTGTTAAGTAGGTTATAGGTTTATTTTACGTTGATATGTTTGCATTCCATGGCCTGGCTCTCCCTCAATGATGCATTAATGCTAGGACTCGTAGAACTCGGTGAACCAAATCGAATGGCTGAAGCCATGATATCGTTATTCGCTACTTGATTTCTTAAATTACAAAAAAAGGACTAATTCTTAGTTCAGTTTAAAAAGCGGCTGAAACCTACAAAACCAGAAGAAGTTAGCCTTAATCTCCTGTCTATAATTATGAGCCGCACAAGTTTTATAACAGCAGTTCATTCTTGATTCCAGTATGCATGCATATATTATTGCTTTTGGTTCAAAACACTAGTAATTAAAAGAAATCTCAAACCCTAGTTACAACATTTATATAACTTACCAGTTGTTATTCCTTGAGATGCGACCATAGGAATATGAGGAAAAGGCTTCTTCAGAGTGGCTATGTACCCAACACCACCAACTGCTGAAACAGGATATACCTATCACACAGAGAAAAAATCATTACATACAACATCATCCTTTTTTTTGCTCTTTTTTAACTAAATTCAAATTAGAAGTAGGTAACCGATTAATGCAAATACAAGGTGGATGTTGAAAAGTTCATGTTACCAGCTACTTCACTACGTAGACAAGAATGACTGTTTCACCAATGTTAATTATTCAAAAGTTCATGTTACTAGACCCTAAAGTTATGCTTCATTCCACAGGCATTATATAATAAATGTCACTTCTTTCTGCTTGTGAAATTTACTGCTCATTTGCATGAGGAAAAGATAATCTGTGTTATTCACACTTTCTACTAGTTCATATTATTTACAAATTTAATGTTGTTTTGCAACACAACACAAATTTCAGTACAAAATTCCTTGTTCCATGTCAAGCTCGGATAAAAATAAAAGGAATGTTTTTGGTTTAGGTAGTAATAAAATTTTATTTACCCATCTGTCACCTCTAACAACTTCAAAACTTTAAAAGAAAATCAGACTCCTAGCATATTTCGGCCAAAGTACAATCAACCACCAGAATATGAGGTTCAAGTCTTCAAAGGAAACAATGTCACAATCCACCTTGGGTTTTTACGATAGCCAGTGTGCTAAACTACATTATGAGAATCAAATCATACAGAAAGAATTCTCATCCAGAACACTACTTCATCTTTGTCCACTGGGTAAACCAAGTGCCGGAGGAAGAAAAATGATTTTTAAATCATAGAGATGTTTGCCTGTATGGAAGAGATTTTACGAAAACTATACAAGAATAGTAACTCTTTAAAATAGGTCCAAAATACTGAACAAATGATGTGATGATAATTGAGTAAATTAAAATCACACAGATAGACTTGCCATGTGGCTTAAATAAGTGTATTGCACAAAAACTATGGAATGGATTGCAACTAACCTTCACAATTTTGGCACCAGCATTATATGATGACAGTATCTGTAGAATAAGAAAGTACTTTCATGAGGTGAATTTGAACTTAAGAATATATAGAAGAAGCAAAAAGATACAAATTTTACTCGAGGAATATTGCCATAACTATAGTGTGGAGAAACCCTCTATAATAGGTACATCAACAGTGAAGATAAAACAATGAATAACATCAGGCTAAGCTAGGACTTTGGCTATACTAGGATTCCTGAAATAATAAGGAAATGCAATAACATGATTTTAACTTTCAACTTGATTCAAGCATGTAAAGATAATAAAACTCCACTGAATGGCTTAGTACTATTAAGACCACGACGATAAATGTAATTGCATATTTACTTCTGATGGGGTCATCACACCAGGTATATATAGAAAATCGTCATTGTCTTGATCCAGAATGCCCTGCAAACAATTTTCTGAGAAATTAAAGAGAGAGAGAGAGAGAGAAAACTAAACAAAATTGTCCCTGTTATTGAAAAATATCACCTCCTCATTCCCAAAAAATGTATTTGACTTGGTCACAGTGCAGACCATTTATATACAAAGCATCCACACATATTTGTTTCATTATAATAGGATATTTGTAATACATTTGGATTTCAGGAGATGCATGTCCCACCAGCTGGACCCACCATGTTCACTGTATATTGTATCTTTCTTTATATAAAACTGTTGCTCTCGGTGCTTTTTATTATATAGTATAATTCATAACTCTTAGTTTGAGAGTTATTTACAACTTGTTTTACTCCCATTTTGCATCTTTGTTCAAGTTGAGTGTTAGAAAGGGAAGGCAAACAAGTCATGCTGAGCAGGGGAAAAACTGCAGACAAGCCAGCAGAGAAAAACCATAGGGCAGCCGCTGGGAAAAAATGTTTCAGGAGCAAATCAAATAAACGTTGCACATTGTTTTGCCAATGCTGCAGCATCAGGAGAAGCAGGAAAAGTAGAGCTGGTGGAAATGTGGACTGTCATGTGATCGGCTGCTGGATGTGGTACTGCATTTAGAGGGACCCCCACCATATGGGGCCATCCAGCAACCTCACTGGCGGTCAAGAGTTGCCTCACCCAAGGAAAGGACTGAGGGAGACATGTGAGTTTTGCCGTAAATAAAATAGTATATACTTAAAAAAAACATTTTTTTGGTGATACAAGAAAAACTAAGGAAAAGGAAAAAGAGCTTTCTGAAAGAGATGAACTCTTTCTTAGGTTCTGTAAGAAATAAAAGTGAGTAGGGAACCCTTTGTCATGCCTCTACGATTGCAGGACTCATGACAAATTTTGCTCCTGCATCTTTGGCATTTTCAGCGTCTTCAGTTTTCATAATAGTGCCAACCTGCAACATTTTAGAGCATTAAGATAGGACAAGAATCTACCCTACAAAATATAGTACGCTAAAAAGTAACCAGCATAATCCATGCATATCTACCTAAATTTACTCCTCAAAACCATAATGAGGTGAAGAACAAACCATGTACCGTTCAGGTGAAAGAGCAAGAAGTTTCCATACAATAGTGGAACGTCCATGAGATTTTGTAGAAGGCCACGAATGTGACACAATATGGGCTCAAGCCCTACAGTACAGGTCGGTCAACCTTATTGCCCTGCCTACCTCGGCAGGCATACCCATTGAATTCAGGCTTTCATTAGCTCCTTCAGGATGGGATTGACGTATGGTCTTTATCCAATTTATTTGATGAGTTCTCTTCAATTAAGATGATACAAGTATATATGTGTATTAATCACTACACACAGTCTTGTACAAGTAACAACTCTCTCTAAAATTTTGGCAAAGCCATCATCCATAGAAGTAAACCAAGCAGGCGTATGAAGTATAGGACATACAGGGAAAAGGCCAGGTTAGAGTTTACACTGTTGCTTGGAAGGAATGTAACTTGGAAGCTTTATTTCATTCTAATATTTAGTATGTTGTTCTCTAGTATGGATTGTTCAATTATGTTATTTTTTGCGTCATTTTGTTTGTGTATTCATTGCTACAGAGAGTATTGTACACGTACAATTATTAATTAAAAAAAACCAAACGAACTCGACATATCCCACACAGAGGTAGGGTATAGAGGTAGGAATAGGATCTACATGGACCTTGCCTTTACCACAATGGGTAGTGAGATTGTTTCGGCGAATACCTTGACTAGCAAAACGAAAATTAAAAAAAAAACATGTGAGAGAAGTAGCAGAGAAACGTGTGCAAACAAGCAACAATATATTGCAAGGGACATTAGATAAAACAAACATGGGAACACAAGAAGAAAAATTACCTCTGGCATGCACTAAAATCAGGAAAACCAAAAACATCATTTCGTAAAGACAGGAAAGACTAGAGGCCGTTTACCAAGCTCTTACTAGGTGTCACTTACCTTGCAAGGTGAGCATGACAAGGACCAATAATCTTACCCGGTAAGAGGAATAGCAAACACTTGGAATTTTACCTAGGAAGTGAAGGACAAGACTCTTATCTGGTTAGTGCTTACCACGTAAGAGATGCTTTACCAACAATCCATTTTGATGAACGAGGATGTTAACCGATAAGGTAAGTGGGGGCGACGACTCTTGTCATTATGCGCTTACCCGATGAGTGTTTGGTAAATGGCCCCGAAAACTCTGATACAGTAAAAGAATACTTTGCATTATCGCCCTTTACCTTCATAAAACCACCCTCCTCTCCTCCATGTTAGCTACGAGTCTCCCACATAGCTTATTACCCTAGTCCCACATCTCCAAGAGCTCCTATTAGGGGCATCTGCTTGGAAATGTATAAGGCGGCCATGTCCATCCTCAGTTGCTCTCCCCACGTTCTCATTGGATTGCCCCTCTTCCTCACAACCTCAAGGGCATACCTCCTATCATCGGCATTTGTCTCCTGCAAACGTGTCCAGACCACCACAATTTTCCCTTTCTCAATTGATTAAGTCATAAGAATTATACTAACCATTGCAACATATCATGATATAAGATATAGTAAATGGATGTCAACTTTCCTTAACAGAAAGTTAATTCAGGAGCGTATACGATACAACTTGAAGGTTTTGTCAGACATGAGAACTCTCATATGGTATGCAAGTTGCAACGATCCATTTATGGATTGAAGCAAGCTTTAAGAAGTTGGAATCATCGTTTTGATGAAGCAATTAAATGTCGGAATATGAAAGCCATAAATGCAGCAAAAAATAACCATATTCCTCCAAAAATCCATACAAACAGGATAAGGATGGTAGTTTCAAAAAAAAAAAAAAACTCAACAAGCAACACCCTTTGATGGCATATATGAACCAAAGCAACGATCTTGCAGATGTTGCCTCCACGATATCCATGCAAGCAAAGTGAATCCCTATCAACATCATACAAGAACAGAGGAGTCCTCTTCTTCCCTTGCCTTACTAGACCCAAAGTTTGAGAGAAAACATCCATGAGTAGAGAAAGGTAAACTAGGGTTTTTTCTCAAAGCAAGGGTATTATTAAATAGCCTCAAAATAAAACCTTTAAGCTACCTTATATATTTTGAGAGTTTCCATCATATGAAAAACTCTTTCATATCTGATGTACGGAAGTATATATCTCATATATTTCTCTATTTAATCAACACTAATTAAATAATAATACTAATAATTTTTTTAGTTATTCGGCTTGCTTATTCGAGTGCACTCTAGACGTGCGACCCATTGACAATTTATCAGGTTGGCAGTAATTACAAATCATATTTACAACTAAACAAAGAGTGGCATCTACCAATACATCATTACCAAATTGATAAGTTTGGTGATTCAGCCGGTTAACAAATCCGTGATAATGTCCATGTTGTGTCCCTTTGTCTTGAATGTTCAGACTGGACATGGGGAATGGTTGTGTCATTTTAATTATCTTCAATCTCTAGTTTCTTAAATTTTAATGTACTGATACAATAGATATTCATATCTCCATATCAATCATCTAAACATGCATTCATTTTCTCAGTAACCTTCAACTTATCGCCATATAGGACGGACAATATCTCGATACATGATACTACTACCATGTGATACATGGCATACCTGGCTACTATTTTGTCAACCAATGAAATGATTAGAATCATTGTTGCCACTCACACATTGCAAACTCCAAGCCCTCAAGTCAAAAGGCTACATGTATAATAACCATATGAGAAACACTGATGACCCTCATATGACATGCAAAATGCAGGGTACTCATCATAACCAATACACAAAATTCTCATCTTGTACCCATATGTGGACTCTGTATCTCCAAATAAACTGATACATATATTAGTCGTTACCTTATTATTTCAACCTTAGACCCCAAGTAATACTAGATTAGGGACATGTAGAATATATTAATTTTAAGGTTATTGTATTTTTAAATAGAACATATAACAAAGTATAAAAATAATAATAGGGCAATGCATATTATTAATACAATATCATGACAAAATGCCCAAACATATAATCATCTCATAATTGACTTTGGACATACACTAACAATCTCCCTGTTGCCCTAAAGTCAATCTATTTAATTTTGAATACCAATACATTTACATTGGCAACCATTCTTCTATTTTGTTAAGACACAGGCATAGTACATTAAACAAAAGATCTAGAGTGGCCATTAAACTTTTTGAAAAGAATGGATATTTGGTCCATAAAAACAATTTGTCTAAATATCTAATGATTATTTGTAGTAATAGTTTATTCTAATGCCATAAAACTCAAATTGTTCATTGCTCATTGAGTATCACATCACTCCATCCCTCAACTCTTCTTCTCTCAAAACCTCCGTCACTAATGGCGCTTCAGAGAACCCTAGCACAACGCATATACACATTTCAATTCTCTATCATCTCAGAAAGCCTTAAATGCTACAAAACCAAATTTTCATCATGAGACATTGACGTCATCGAAGAAGTCATCTACCCCTGCCAACACTGGACTGCCTGATGCTCATTAAGTATCACATCACTCCCTCCCTCTCTCAGCCTTATGTCACTCAAAACCTCCATTAGCAATGGCACTCACGCTAGCAAAACAGTTAGAAATTCATAGTAGCTCCATAATCTTTGGATTGTGTACTGCATAGGATACTCTAGACCTTGGTGCTCCAAAAAACTCTAGACCTTGATGATGATTAGTACAAATGCACACGATGAGAAATTCGAAGTGGCTAATCGAGTTTCTTGAGATCTATTTCCATGCCGATCTTACCTTCAGTAACTCAGAAAACCTCAAGATTTTCCTGGAATAGTGTATGGATATTTCGAGAAAATAGGTAGAAACCAGTGAATAACCGTTGTCGAACTCTTTAGAACGCCAAGCACGAGATGTTCTCAATCGAAGATGTTTAGCTTCTCCCTTAGTTTCTGCCAATCAATAAGAAAAACAACTCTAGTAGGTTTATTGTCGATGACTAATTTAATATTTCTTTGTTGGAGGGACCACCAAAAGAATCCGATGGTAGCGATTGTAGATGACTTCTCCAGTAACGTCAAAATCTCATGATGAAAATACAATTGGACGGCATAACAATAAATCAAACCAAACAAACCCGGTATAACCTAGTTATTGTTATGTTAAATATAAGAACAACCATGGAATGATGTATTGTAAACGTCCCTAGTCAAATATTATCCCAGTCTAGGGTTGGTAACGACTAGCATTCATCTGAAGATATAAAATCCACATATGGATACAAGATGCGGATCTTGTTCACTGACGTGATTCACTATAGGAACAGTGTGCAGGATGTCATATGAGTGTCACAAGTATATCTCATGTGGTCATTGTATATGTAGTCCTTTACTTGGGAACATGGAGTTGCTTGTGTGAGTGGCATACTTTGACACCAACTCTAATCATTTCATAGTTGGGTGGCATAATGGTAGTTGGATGTGTCACGTATCACATAATAATACTACCATGTATCGAGATAGGATGTCCCACCTGTATGACACGAGTGATGCCTCTCGCCCCTTGATTTCAGATAATCAATATGAGAGATGGATGCATGTATTATTAGTACATTTGGAAACCAAAAAACTAGGGACAGAACATAACAATCCAATGTAGACATCGAGTAACATGCACACTAATAAGGATCATGAGTTTGTTAATTGGCGGAATCACAAAACTTTACCATTTGGGTAAAGAAGACACGTTGTTAGACGTCGCTCTTCATTTATAGTTATAAATACAATCTATAATTATTGTCATCATGATAAACTCCTAATGGGTCACAAAAAAGAGTAATCAAATAAGGAGACCGAATAATTGAAGTATTCAATTATTAGTATTATAATTCAGTTACAATTTAATTGGATTAAAATTATGGTTCATTACATAGACAAATATATGAGATATACTACCATATATAATGTATGGAAGAGATTCCATCATATGGAAAATCTCCTAATATACAAGGTAGCTTAAAAGGTCGATTTCAGGACTAAGTGAAAAACCTCTTTCGAGGAAAAAGACCCTAGCTTACCTCTCTATTCACGATCGTTCTCTCCCAAACTTTGAGTCTAGCAACTCAAGGGAAAAAGACAATTCCTCCATTTTCATGTGATCAAAATGATATTGGTTCATTTGCATGGGTGCCATGAAGGCAACATTCTAAAAAATCGTTGCTTTGATCCAGATACGACATCAAAGGTTGCTACTCATTAAGATATAATTCGAAACACCCATACTACCCTGTTCCGAGTGGATTCTTAAAAAGGAATGCGCTTATTTTCCGCTACATGTATGGTTCCCATATTCTAACACGAAAGACCTGCTCGTTCTCTTGTCCTACATGGTCCGACTACGTCCACGTGCACCTAAGCATCCTTATTTATGCAAACTTCTAACTTCCTCTCATGTGCTTTATCATTGCCTAACGCTTTGTCCCATATAATGTAGTTGGTCTAATGTCTACCTGTAGAATTTTCCTTACAATATTAGCAGCACTCTCTTGTCTCAACAAAAATGTGGTGGCAACTCCCCGGTTTAACCACCTTGCCTTTATTGTGTAACATCACCCGCAACCTCTCCTTCCTGAATCATGGAACCTAGACACTCGAACCTAGGATATCATTTGAACCCTAATGTTGGCTTCTACCTCCTCGTTAGCAAGTCATACTGAAGTTGCACCATATGTATTTTGTCTTGAAGCAACTAATACACTAGCCTTGTGTTTCAATGCCGCCATCCACTGTTTGAGTATCCTATTCAATTCTAACCGAATCCACTACCAAAACAATGTTGCTAATGAAATGACATACACAATGGAGCACTTCCCTAAATCCCTCCCAAAATCTTGTCTAAAGTCACATAAAAAAGAATGAGCTTGGTGTCGATCTCATGTGTAGCCCTATCTCCAACGAGAAATACTTCGTTTCACCCATCGGTGTTATCACAAGTCCTTGTTCACTCGTACATATCATGCATTAAGACATATCTCCATGGTATACCTTTCTCCCCCAGTCTCTTCCAAATCACATCTTGTGGCACACTGTCATAAACCTTGTCCCCGCCTGTGAACACCATGTTTAGGTCCATGCTATGCTCTCTATACTTCTCCAAGAAACGTCTAAGGATGTGAATTGCCTTGATTGTCAACCTCCCCAACATGTAGCCAAATTGGTGCTCCA